GTTATGAGTATTCACTAAAGTACCCGTATCTGTCCGACTGCTCACAAGGTAAGACTTGGCAACGTTGGAACAGTACAGTATGTGGAACATATATTGTTCGAAATAAATTATGAGAGCAAATTTGTATTTGAGAATTTCATTTTGTTACGAAAAAGACAGATAGACTGGTAGTTATTCCTGTTATGTATATACCTAGTCATAGTTTTAAAAGATAGATATATATGTAGCGAGCTGGTTAAATTTTATTTAATTTCCGTCAACATCCAATGCCGCGGTGTGTTTGGAAAAATCGAAATCTTTGATTTTTCGCCTTTCCTGTGTATTCTTATTCGGCGCTTTTTTCTGTGTAGAGTGACACCATCATTATTTTCTTTATTTTATATAAATATTTAATAAATATTTCTTTACTGTCCTCCATGAGGAAACTACAATGTGTATGAATATATTTTCTCAAATATACAAATTAGCAATAAAACCAGATCAGGAAATATCATTCTCAATATGCAAGATCACATATGTATGGTACTATATACAATAACAAATACATACAAGTAAATACGTTTATATATTTCCCGAATTGCCTTGACCTATAAAAAGTTAAATTATCAACGTTTGCGATTATCATTTGTGTGTTCGAATGTCATAAACTTCAAATGTATAGACATGTTTGTATAGTTTACGAGGTATGTTCAATCTGCTGAAATTTATACATTTGCTTATTATTGAATATGTCTATGCTTTTGGTTTTAAGTGCATGTCCATAGGTTTTTGTCGAAATAATTATTTCGTATTCAATTTTCAACTTTCAATTACATAAGTAGGTCCAGATATTCTGCTAATTACTTTGAGATCTGTCGAATTCACTTAACTTTGACCGGTCTGCTTGAATGGCAGCTACATACATGCTATAGTGTGATTATAAGAATATGACTATTTTGTATGGCTTTACGCAATCGTAATAAAAATTATCACATATAACCAGTGTGAGTACAACTTGCACCTACTGTAGTCAATTTAACACAGTTGAAAACGAATTTCTCATAAATGTGCCAGTTTCTCTCAATTTCAAGTTGACTGTTCCATATCATCAGATATGTACATAAAATCTAAGGTTTTATTTATTTATTATTGAACAATATTTATCACAAATTATTACAACAAATGCGAATCGGCCGTTATAACAATGATGGTGCAAAGACTTGTTCGAGTTTATTAGAAGAATCGGCCATTCGTTCGGTTTTAATTCTCTAAACCATTCTAGAGCATATCATAAATTCAAGATAAGGTACCGCATGGCGACATATTTCAAATAACGTTACTTTAAAGTGTTGTAATATTTTTTGTTAGCATACTGACACATAGTTTTAATCCCGGTTGATTTGTTGAAAGATAGTTAGTACAATTCGGCTGATACAGCTTTTATACTCTTGCAACATGTTGCTACAGAGTATAATAGTTTTGTTCACTTAACGGTTGTTTGTATCACCTAAAACTAATCGAGTTAGATATAGGGTTATGTATATATAAATGATCACGATGAAGAGACGAGTTGAAATCCGGATGTCTGGTTGTATAATAATTTCCGATTTTCCACCTTTTACTTTGGTTTAGAATTGGTCCAAATCTTATATCCCTGAAATAATTATCTGCGATCCTTTGGTTGACATTTTCACATCAACTCATTATATTAAATTTAGCTTCTTCAGTTGAATTTGTATCCCATATAGCTCATTTGAAGATGATTTTAATACAATTTTAGCTGACGGGAAGTAAAATATAGTAATAAAACTAAGTGAGTTAATAACCTATAATATAACTTAATAAAATACCAGATTTGATTGTAATCCATTTACAATTTCATCAAATAAACCGCAACATTTTTTTAAATAAAGTATTCCCAACACCTAAAGGTATTTTTCCTCCCTTTGATCCTTGCAAGTTACTAGAATATAAAATGTTTAGTTGTACCGCAACTTAGCCCTTCATTACTTGTTTTAATGTAGAACTAATATATGTACTTATGTTCATCCCCAAAAAGAATGTTACATAAGCAAGACATGTCATGCTCCTCTGTGACTTAAGGTAAACGAAACGATACTCTCCTGCAATCAGCAATGACGTTAATGGTTCTTCTCGCTATTCTTCTAATATTACTCGAAGAAGTAATGAAACTATATAAACTACTATAAAATTAACCAATCTTCAGACTACGTTGTTTTACCCCTCCTTCTTCATATACTTGTATGTATGTATGTTAAAGAAGACTCATAATACCAAGACCCACGTACCTAGCGTCGCATTTTCTTCGGCGATTAAAACAAAAGCCATTGATTTTGTTAAGATATTTCTGTTTAAACTTTTTCAAGTTTAAGTTTTTTCTGCGAATAATTCAAAATTATTCATCCAGGCAAGGTCAACGAATAATTTCCTACTGACCTACTATAATATCTTTCTAAGGAGCACCAAATCGTAAGCAACCCCTGCTTTGCATGATATCAAAAAACAATTTATTTCTTTATATAAATTGCGCTCTTATACCAAGCAATTTTCTCAAGTAGTATTTAATAATTTCAGGAAGCGGCAAAAGCTAACTCCGAAAGTCGATATCTTCACTAAAGCACTCAACTCTGATTATAGGGCGCGTGGCCCTCTGTTAAATACATAAACAACAGTCGCCTTCATAATCATAGTGGAACACATAAAAGAATCAGAGTAAATAGAAATAGTAGCAATCACCATCGCTGAAAGTTTTACAATAATCAAATGAACCCACATACATACATACATGTATTCACATGTTCGCATAAAATGACGTTCGGCGATAAGAACAGTTATTAAATTAGTGTCAACGACTATAACCAAATAAGTGAACGGCGACCAAGTCCAATGAGCGTCTCTTTCAGCCAATAGACGGATCTCATTATTCCGAACTCACAAATGACAACGATTTGTCGTTAAGTCAACGAAACGTATTCACGCACACTTATTTATGTATGTATCTACATACAATGAATATGGGCATTTTTGAACACGCAATGCAATGACCCGGCAATGACATCCACCGATGAAACAACTTACAACTAGTATGAACGGCAAGCCCAACTACTCAGCCGACTATCCCTCTGCCATACATACAACTGGTGTTCGGTCAGAACAAACCTGTCCCATACCAGTCCAAGACTGGTGTAGACAAAGTCTATAAAAATGAAATCTTAATAAACACTTTTTTGCGCTTTGTAATTAGTTTTAAAACAATGAAAAAATTAAATCGGTAAAGTCAAACCAAAATTGCTCTTTGAAAAATAAATTTGGAATTGATGCAACATTAGTAATTTTTTGACTAGTTTATTTTATGTTAGTATCAAACTATAAAATTTTGTTTTTTCACTAAAGGGGTACTCTGACCCTGTCGTTTCCGCTTCCCTTCTGCAGTCAGCCGATCGTTCAACGTATAAACATTATCATCATCTTCACACATTTACATGCATTATCATCATCTTCACACATTCAATAGTTTTTTGCAGCGCTTAGCTGATCTAACAACGCGCTGAATTCTTTCAGTCTTGTTATACGGTTACTCGCGGCATGGAGTGGGCCAATCAAGTAGTCCAGTCGGTGGTTGACAGTAAGAAATGCCATGCCGAAACAGATTTATTGCAGAATGCCGGTAAGGCGACTTCGGCGTTGAGTGAGACAATAACTCCTCGGGTAGTAAAACGTGGTCGTGTTTCGTGCGTATGAGTGAATGAATATACGTGGACCGGAATCGGAACGAATGTAACTACCTTTTATGTTAACGTTAAATGGTCATTATCTCTTCATAAAGTCGGTTATAAAGATAGAGGATACAAAATAATGACATTCTTAGACTAGATCACGTGGTGTTGATGTGTTACAGAGTTTAATGTGCTATTTCAGGTAAAATTTGGTATTTGATTGTACTTAATCAAAATTGATATGTATGTTTGTAAGTATACGATTCTTCAAAACGAATATTTTCAGTTTTATTAGGAAAACTTAAAACATGTATTTCGTTGCCGTTTGTTTCCGGTACTTCGTCTATGATATATGGTATATAATTTATTTATTATATATTTACAAGCAACTCATAAAACTAGTGATATTTTTGTTTGTATAGTTAACTGCTTTTCTGCATATTTCAAAGTATTGTACATATTCTTAATTAATGGGGTAACAGAGATAAGCTGCGATATATGGCTTTAATGCTGAGATAAACAAATTAAAATGGTAATATTTATGTAAACAATATTTAGTTTTCAAATACTACAAAACCCACTTCACTTCGAACCTTTAAAAAAAATCACAACAGTTTTGTAGAAATATCTTGCTGAACACTCTGAAATTTGTGTTTTATGTCAGTCTAAAAAAGGGGAACCTGCTATTTGCAATTTCAGCAGCCATACGCGGAAAAATGTGGTAGATTGTTGTCGGATATTTTTGCTATGAAAATGAATGTGGACAGTCATAGGGTCAAGTACGAATCGTTTGAGTGATATTGTATAAATGTATTATGTTAATTTAAAATCTTCGTTGGCAAGTAAGGAATTTATAACGGGGTATTAGAATACAATTGTATTAGATTACAAGAATATAGCATGATTTAGTTTTTAGTTGTAGCATATTTATTAATTTCGCCCAGAAAAAGGTGGCACTATGCATTTTAGGATAGTTATTATTAAGAAGCGGCAAAATGCATTTTTAGCCAAATTGAATCATCAAAGGAGCTATATACGAGTATGTATTTAGGAATTTCGTTATATTTATTTTATTAAAGCGTTCCTTTTGTAATAGGAGAAAAAAATTTAATATTCAGTGGGTCTTGCCAATTTTTAAGGCCAAGTTGTATCAATGCATAATATTCCAAATATTATATTATATAATCGATAAATGCCAACGCAGTATACATTTATCCATTTAAAATCAATAATTAAAAATAAATGAAAAATGTTACTTATATTTGATTTTACGTTTCTTTACAGTTGATCACTACGAATACATAACTGCAGTGCAAAGAACCGGACGTCATCAGCCACCAATTTGCTTATCGGCGCTTATTAGTTAGCTCTAAGGGCTTCGTCAACAATATATTCGCAATTTATTTTGTTATTTTGTAGAATAAAACCAATTTACAACGATGAACCCGACGCAACGAGATTGCCAGTTCATTTGACACACGCCAAATAGATGTGGTGAAAAAAGAAAAATAACAAATACAACGAAGTGAAAAAGGCGCAGTTGAATTGCAAAAGCCAATATAAATATAAATAAAAATAAACTTTATACACTTATTAGATAAACCAATACTGCTGTAAAACAGTCGCGAAGAAAATTTTTTTTACTTTTTTTATTTTATTTTTTGCTTTGATTTCGTTTTTACTAAAACAAAATAATGCAATAATCTTACAAAATCTATAAAAAAAAAACCTAAACTGTAAACCACATTGAGCCGTTTTTGGTGGATTAGACGGGTATATACTTTTAATTGGTCAATACTCTCAGCCAAGGGAAATCTACCTGCCGCATGTGGATTCTATCGGTGCTTGTGATTCTGCCAAAGACGTTGTTGATGCGGACGACGCCGCATTGCAAAAGTGCAACCAAATTCAAAGCGAAGCTCGTCAGACACCAATTGTCAGCAGAAATAGTTGCTGCAATAACGCCAACAAAAACAACATGTGTAGCAGTTTTAGCGCCCAGCAGCAGCAGCAACAACAATAGCAGTAGCAACAGCAGTGTAGCAGAAACAACTGTAGCCTTAAACCCAAAGCAATATTTTAGCCAATTAATAGTCGAGTGTTTGCCCATCGCATTTTTAGTATTCACATCGTTGTCGCCATCGACGGTGTCTTTGTTCGATCTTGTACTTATTTTCATTGTATCGCTTATTAATTTACGCATCCAACATTTCCTCCACAACGCGGTTAAATCGAAGTTAGTATTCTTGATGAATGACATTCGCATAAAATCAGTTTATAAGCCAACTACAACAACAACAGTAACAGTAGCAACTGACAGTGGAACAGAATTAACTGTAATATTATCAAAAATATTAAAAGCTATTAGAACAGTGTTAGAAAAGAATAATAAAAACAACAATAGCAGCGACAGCAATAATATATTAAAATCTATAGTCGAGCAAAAAACAGCGTTAACCAATCAAAGCCCACGCATCAGTGAAGCTATCCCCGAAGACCCCCTTTATTCAATATTGCCATCAGTAAATAACAAAAACAACATCACGGTGGCCGCCTTTGTACAATTACGGCTATTTAATAATAATTCTTTTTCGTCGAACAATCATCGCACTTACAATAACGGCAGTAAATCGAATAAAGTATTTCTACACTATACACCACGTGATCCGCGTTTAAGAAACGTCAGTGAAAATCAAGAGATTTTGATTAATAAACACCATTTCGATAGTGTTAGTGAATTGAAAATAACTGAAGATTTATGCGCTTATGGCGAAGTCATTGGAGGTACCTCCACAATAATAACAACAACAACAATACAATACAACATTGTTAGTGCTTATTTACCAATATACTGTGATTGTAATAAAATTATTAATTGTTGTAAATATACGTGTAATATTAATAAGAATAATAATAGCAAATTTGAAAGTGAAAGTGCGCGTGCGAGTAACAACTTAATTATTAGTGATCCTTCACGTAGTAAAACTATTTCGCCTGTCAACTCTCACAAACTAATATATAAGGAAATACAAAAGCAAACACACAACCCGATCGCAGAGTCCTCCAAAGTGGAAAATAAGTTCTTGAGGTAAGTCTGGGAATTTTTATTGGACTTGACTTAGAAACGTTTTCACTTTAAGTTTTAAACGAAGTTTCTATTTAGAAATTTTTTCTTTCTACGACCAAATAGGTGTATATCTTTAAAATGACTTTATTAGATAATCAAAATCGTCAAAGATTTTCAGACGACATTGTTTCGTTAGTATTTCATAGATATATGAATTTGCGCTTATAAAGTTATAAATGTACTTACATAAGTACGTATACAAGCATGTAGTGTACTGTATGAGTGACTGCCAAACAAAAATTCTATTTTTATCGTCAGAAATATTTAGAGTGAAATACACCGTGCATTTGCGAAAGTCTTCAAGCGTCATTCGACTCGTACAATTTGCGTAAGAAAATTGCCCAAAACAAAAGTGAATGACATAAGTACCCTTCCTTTCCTTGGCTCAGAACCGAACATTAATAACAATTTGGTACATACCAAGCTGCATGATCATATACCTTTAAACGCCAAAAAACGGGTAGATGGGCGAAGCATTATGCTTTGAGATAACTCAAGTCAAAGGCATCCCACCACTGATTAGCTACAAAGTTAATTTTTTAGCTGTATTCATATTTGTCAACATCTTAGATTTGTCACCCATTGGAGGAATAGGGACCTACAGTTTGACGTTAATTCGCAAAAATGCAGCGTCCCATACATACATATGTACATGTACATATATTCTTTAAATGTAAATATATCACTGTAGGTGAGTATTTGTAAACGTGTCCACATGTGCCCCTCAGGGAAACACTTAGATACACAATTAGATCTTCTGGCCAACTTTTTGTAAAGAACCTACCTAAAATGTCTAATTTTATCAGTACAAGCAATATTATTTAAACCTTTAATACAATTTATGTACATCATGCATATATTTATGGCTAGGTGTTTCCATCTGAATCCATCTTGGCTTGTGTTGAAATGAAAAATGTTTGGAAAGTAATAACTACCATATATGTACATACATACCTAACAACCTTCAGATAGCTATTAAGTTAGTCATTTAGTAAACTGTCTCCATTGTGTAGTGCGAAAATTTCCAATTGATTTATCTCAAAAAAACTAAATAAAAAAGTATCAATAAACATTAAAGTAGGTTTTCGAAAATTTAATTTCTTGGCAGTCGTTTCATTAACTATATTAATATATATCTTTTGAATAATATAAAAATTTTGTTACGTAAGCATGTTTAAAATCATTTTTTTTTTTTGTAAAATAACGACTATAGATTGTTATATATACTTAAGAAGATGGTTGCTTAAAAAGTCAAACACAGTTCTTAATTGAGGGTAGCCGAATTGTTTTTATGTTTAACAAGCTAGCATTGCCTAGAGCTCTAAAATTTTTTTCAGTCTTTTTTTTCAAAATTTCTTTAATACTTTAGATTTTACACCATTAACCCTTTGGACTTTCCTGGTCTTCTTCTGAAAACATTACTTTACTTCTTTTACTATTCCTTCAAATACAAGTGCAATAAGTAGCAAAATAACGAAATAAAATCGTTGAATTGTGCTTTATACTAAAATGTGGACTAAAAATATTTTCTATAAAACATTAAATATTGCTGCAAAATCTTAATACCCCTTTTCACCACATTTTCGAGCATATACTACGTAAAATTTACTCGAAACTCTAGTTAAAAAATTATATACTTTTTCCTACAGGGTCTTTCAAAGTTCATTTGTATGCTCATTTCGACTCCTAGCAATCTGCTATTCTTTCGTCTTGACAGTTTATTTCAAAGTTTATTTTGAATTTCTACTATTCCCCAATATTTAGAGAGTCGAGTTGAAGGCTACTCAAACAATTCTTGTTTATATTTTATTATATTTTGGTATTGTTTTATCTATTATTTGATGGGTTTGCGAAAAATAGTTGTTGCCCAAGACCCAAGCAGTCTTTCAAAGGTATCATAATGAGATTGTTATTTTCTCTGTTATCGCCTGCTTAATTAAAAGCTAATTACAGAGGTGTTAAAGTCTATCATAAAAAGTATCAAATTGAGTAAAATTTCTACAAATAACACACGATTTTAAATTCAGCACTAAAGTTGTAATGGTATGTAATATGTGTGTCATATTTATATGCATGTTTGCATGTACTACACAACTAAATGTAATCGATAATGTTTCATGCACTGTAAATTAATAAACTATATCAGTGTTAATGGCTTTCATAACATTAGGGAAATTAAATAGTAAGCTTATGTAAATGCATAAAACATAAATATATATCTTCTATCATTAGGTGAGATATTTTTCACTGTAGTATTAGTCCAAAAGTTGTATCTTTAGAGAGAACAATGAGAAAAACAATTCCAACTATATTCGGAAAAGGGCAGAGAAGATCTCAAATACAACGTTTTCAAATATCTGTCCATGGGAAAAAGAGGATGAATTTTCAAAATCTAGATCGAAAATTTATACTTTTTTGGCTTTGAGACTTATTTATAGACATGATGAAATTTAAACAAGCTGGAAGCTAGAGCCTTTTGAAGGGTTCTCACGATGTCACTGAAATACACTGCAACAGGATCACACTTTTCATCAAACTTCCCAGTCAAAATGTTTACTTTAAGAATGTTTCCAGTAATCTTTTTTATAACCAAACGTTTTTTCCGGCAAGGTCAGTTGGAAATCTCCTGTCAGTAGTAAAGCAGTACCACCGAATAGTTTAGTTCAACTGTCAATGCGATTTTCTATGGTAACTGTTCTCATGTTTTTTACCTATAACATAGCGCCATTTTCCTAAGTTTGATGGATAAATAAATTAAATCATCTGAATCTTGCAATACAAAATGTCGCGATTATTAATTGAGATATAAACAACCCTACCTTTTAACTTGGATGATATTGGAACTAAACATTAAATTTTAAAATCGGCTCAGTAGCTTACCAGTTTATCCCAGACAAACAACGTGACATGCAATTTTTATAAAAATAGTTAACTCTTTGAAGTAACATAAATTTGTTCTTTTCTTCTTAACGAACCACCGTCCAAGACTTTCTTTTCGCTATCCTTCCTTTGCGAGGTTAAGGCTAAAATATTTTGAATGACACACCAACCAAATCAACTAGCTGAAATCAAATTAATATAAGCTGAATTTATGATTTATGGTTTCAAGTCACTTTGTACATACATAATCATTTCAAAAAACTTTTTTGGAGCTTTCCTGGCTCAGAGATCAGTCATTGACCCAACCTCACCTAATCTAATGAATTATTTGTAACATTGACAGAGAATAAATGTAATTATTCATAAGTCGGTAAAATTTTATCAATAAATTGTACACAGAGTATGCACGTACATACTATGTATCTATATATTAAAAAAACGACTTAACCTCTTTTTGAAAAATCAAAGAACTGTTATAAAGATAGAAAAATTTTGCGTTGTATAATGTATTTTATGGCTTATTTTCAGGAACTTTCAGCTTGGACCCCAAAAATTTAACTCATTGAACTGTACAGTTGGTATTCTGATGTGAGTATAAGGTCGAACATATCGTGCAATCACACACAAGCGAGTTGCGCCGCCATCGCTGTATTTTTCATCACATCCACTGTTACAGTGAATTCCGTGGTGTGACATTTAAACCGGAGTTGAAACTCTCAAATACATACCGCTATAAAAAGAACTCTATAAAGCAGGTTATTTGTCGTGAATTAGAACTGCAGAACGTCGAACTGGTAAGAAGCTGGCCTTATCGGAGAACAAGTTAAATTTTAAGAATAAAAATATATACAAAACCATAGGCAAATATAAGACCAAGTACAATAACAAAAATTGCTGAAAACCACTGTGTTCAAGACGAAATCAGACGTGCACAAAAAAAAACTTAATTGGAAAAAATTTAGTGAAAAAATAGTAATAGCCATCGTCTGATATCACATAAGGCACTTTCGTACGTTTTTATATCATTCTTCACACAGTAAAATAACCCAAAATTCATCTTTTATCCTGTTCAAAATAGTTCATAAAACCTAAAAAATGGTTGCGAATCAAACGAATGCTAAAAGTAAACCGGATAGTGTAGTCTATCAGACCCTATCCACTCCGACAGACGTACAATCAATCGTGGCATCAATAACTCCTACGCCTACACCCACAACCACACCACTAAACAAATCGATTAAACATGATTTCTTTCCCGAAGTAAAGTTCTGTGATCTATCGGCAAGCGAATTACATGATGGTGACGGTGATTACGCTGCCAATGAACGTCTTCTAAAACATTGCCTCATCACCGTGAATGACGATAATGTTGGTCTAACCACGACAACAACAACCACCTTTTTGGTGATGGAGGATAGTGATGTGAAAAAACGTAAGCGTCTTATATCAAACGAATCGGGCGATTCAATTGATTCAAGTTCAACAGATAAAAAGAAGCCAGAGATACCAGATGGAGGTTACGGTTGGGTCGTGGTTTTAGCCTCTCTCGTTGTTTCGCTAATTGCTGATGGCTTGTCCTTTTCTTTTGGGCTTATCAATTCTGAACTGTTGCATTACTTTGGAGAGTCACCTTCGAAAACGGCTTGGATCAGTTCGTTGTTCTTTTCGGTACCACTCTTAATGGGTCCGATCTGGTCGAATCTGGTTGATAATTACGGCTGTCGGAAAATGACCATATTTGGAGGTTTGCTATCAGCAATCGGATTTGGTCTCTCCTCACTCTGTAACTCTGTGGAAATGTTGATGCTGACCTTTGGTATCATTTCTGGTTTGGGACTGGGTATTGGTTATGTAACAGCAGTTGTATCAATCGCTTTTTGGTTCGATAAGAAACGAACTTTCGCTACTGGTATTGGCGCTTCTGGAACTGGAATTGGCACCTTTTTGTACGCACCTCTGACTCAATGGCTAATTGATACCTATGGGTGGCGCGGAGCCACACTCATTCTCGCGGGCACTATGCTGAATACTTGCGTTTGCGGCGCGTTGATGCGTGATCCGGATTGGTTAATAGAAGAAAATCGTCTCGAAAGCCGTTCACAAAGTATGACCACATTTTCGAATTCCAGCGTTTGTCTCGAAGAAATCAAAAAGCTCTTAGATACTGGCATAACAAAGGAGGCGGTGCTTGACACGTTGGTAACAAAAAATAACACCGAGGCCAATCAACAAATTAATGATCCACACGAGTTCGTAATGAAACGCTATCGAAGCGAAATCTTCTTACCGACATTTTTAGGTTCTCAAGATTTGGAATGCGTTTACGAAATCAAGAGCCTCAGTAGGCGATCATTGAGAAATAAAGAAGGAATGGAAGCGCCTTCACGAGAAAACCTATTATCAATGTCTTCAGCTGGGCCCAATCCAACAGCAGCCATTATTGGATCACCCGATGACACAATGATGGGCGGCATTGGTGAAACCGCCGCTGAAGATGCGAGAAAGAGTTTCTTGGCCTCGATAGAAACACTCTCGCCCTCTGAAAAAAGCTCTATTGGTCGCGCTACACCATCGGGTACATCGTTCTCTTCGCAACAAGCTTTAGATGGGGTAAATTCTAAAGCCCAACCACGCGAGTTCCAACGTAACTCCCCTAACGATGGCAATATGGCCAACTCACGTTACTCCTTGAATGAAAATTTTTTCAGTGCTAAAAATGCAACTACATCTTTTGTGGACCTTAAGCCTAACGGCCTGAGACACAATTCTGTCGATATATTGAGCGATGAGACTTATTATATGTCAATTAAAAAGAGTACTACAGAACTTGTAAGTGGTAATTTAAGAAAACTACACAAAGATGCGTCAATAATAGGAATACCGGAAAATGATGCTGCCAACTGCATTAAGCCAACGAAGCGTGCACGCACCGATAGCATTAGCGGCATGCGTCGGCTATCCAAGTCAAAGAAACCGTTAGTTCGGCCAAGCTTGCGGTATAATACCTCCTTACGAAATTCAAACTTCCTCAAGAACATGCGTATACATCGCAACTCCATACATTATCGTGGCGCCATGTTAAATACACATCGCTACCGATTGCGTGCATCATCGTGTCCGAACATATACCGAAACTCGATGACAACGATCGCGAAAGAAGAAGAAGACGTAAGTTTTTAAGTTTTATATGATATACAAATGTAGTTATCTGAATTTAAAAGCGCTATTTTCCACTCTCACTCGTTCTCTATTAGCCCAGTCAAGACATTGCAAAAAAGTAAAATTTTCAAATATACCAAATCGATATTCAATGACAATGGCAACAGCCGGCACTGGAGGCCGAGAAGTAACACTTTAGTATATTCTCGGCTTAAGGTTAAGCAAAAGAAACATCAGATTTCATTAAGAATGTTTATAGAAATAATTTTTCAGAAATATTTGGTCTGCATAATAACACCAATCGCAATCTTATTGTGAGACTTTAGTCAGTTTTTAGTTACTTTTGCAAATATGGTATAATAAAAACTATTTATTACTATTTTGATCCTTGCTCTCATTTCTCTATTATCTGCACTCTACCTGTAGCTATTTCTATATGCCCTTGATTTTAAATAACAAATAAGAAATGAACAATTAATTGAATTATATATTTTCAGACCTGGTACGAGAGTATGATCGACACAATGAAGACAGTATTTGATTTTTCATTGTTCGCGGACATGAAATTTACTCTATTCAATTTATCCACATTATTTCTATTTATTTGGTAAGTAAATTTACTACATTCGTATATAAACAAATGTCTGGTACTATTTCCAAGACTAAATTGGTTACAAGACAGTTAAATCTAAAAGCAACAAATATAATATGCTTAAACCACATATCATTACAATATATAATATTTGAATACGATTATGAAATTTGAAAATAAGGTATGATTGTCCTCAGTCACCTTTCATCTCCTCTATCAAAGTAAAAATTGTTGGCACGAGTTATTTGGAAGGAAGGATTTTTCTACCAAAGTAAGAATCGTAACAGAATTGCTTATGCGCCAGAAGACATGTTAGTGCTGCCTGTTAGTTTGAACACCTTGTATAGTTTGTTCTATTCGTTACTCTCGAATGCTTGGCGAATATAGAGCAAAGAATGAATGTTTGTTTCTTCTCTTTTGTTCATCACAGGTTCATTATTCCCTACCTTTATCTGCCGGAGCATATGAAGCTTCATGGCTATGTAACGACGGACAGCGCACAAATGATTTCGGCCATTGGAATCGCTCAAACAATCGGCATGATCGGTCTGGGTTATGTGGGCGATCGCTCGTGGATGAATGTGAATGTCTGCTATTCGGCGTGTATGGTGGGTAAGTACGAAATCAATTATCAAAGTTTTAAGCACTAAAGTACTAGCCTTTATAAAATATGTTGAGGCAATATAAATGAATTTACATTGTCATGTACTAAGAATTTATAAGGCTAATCAAACTATAATAATAACAAGAAGAAATTTGTAAATGAAGAAATGCCTGTTCGGTTGTATAACCGCTATAGTATTCGCTGATTGTGAGGCCTGACGAGATTGACTATGTTTATAACACTGCAGATTTGTATAAAATTTCTCAATGACTAGTGCACACAAACAAGTGAAAAAGCTCTTAAATGTAAGAGAATAAGGCTTGCATTATTAGTTATCTCTATGTATATATGTGTATAATTCTATACTCACATACTCATGGGCTTTTACTTTCGTTTTACTTTCAGTTTGTGGCATATCGGTGCTTCTAATGCCGATTGTTGTGAGCAGTTATATTGGACTGCTGTTGGTGTGCATCATCTTTGGATTCACTTTCGCTAGCTCATTTTCATTTACACCTAGCATTTTGGTCAGTATTGTCGATTTAGATGATTTTACGTGTGCCTATGGGCTGGTGCTCCTGGTACAGGGTGTTGGTATGATTGCAGGGCCCCCAATTGCAGGCGCTATTTATGAAATGACGCTAAGGTAAGTGAAACCTTAACCAAACCCCAAAGAAAACACATCTTACGAGGAATCATAGATATATATTGTAAAATCTAACCGGTATTGAATAATATATTGAGACTCAGATTAGTTTTTTCATTCATTTGTTTTGTGATTTGGATCACTTTGGGTATAAAAGTAGGGTCGGCTTTAGTTTAGCATCCCACGATTTCAGGGTTAAGAGGGGTATGGTTGGATAGAGGAGATTCTCCAGATCACGAATATTACAGCCGGAAACTTATAGTTTTCGAGATATTTGCGTTTTAAGTTGAAAATTTCATTTGGAAATTTCTCGATTTATGGTTAACTTTTCTTTTATATTATGGCTTAAACGTATGTTTTATTGCATCTTACAATTTCACAAATGGATCATGATGCCGATTTGCTATATTTTTACGCCATAGGTATTCATATATCAAATTGTAAAAATCTTCACTGTTATTATAAAAATATCCTTAATTTTGTTTAGATTTCCTATTTGCACTGGCGGCCTTCGGCTTCAAAAAAATAACCCTGGTCGATCCAACACCGGAGTGTTCATAATTCAATCGCGTCAAACTCTTATTTTGGAATCAGAACTCAAACCGATAAGAAGTTATAACTGTTATGAATTGTGATATTATTGCAATGATTTTCAAAAGTCTCAGCGCTGACAGATTTGAAATATTACATTTTTATTTATTGTATATCAATTTGCCATTTACACTTTTCTATAATTATTATCAAACACAAAATACCAGTAATGTTCTATTTAATGGAAAACTAGGCATTTTTTTTAAAGGGTACCCGAAAGGTGTTAGTCCCGTTTGGTCAAGTAAATATGTACAGTTTTGCATAATAGCTAAATAACACTTATGATTCCTCTTGGGCATCAAGCGAATTACTGTGACTACGTAAAATCTTGTTGATTTCATAGAAATGTTGTGTGCCTAAATGTATGCAAACATTTATTTCATACCAAGAATAATTATTAATATACATAGGTTTATGTATTTGTGATTTCTCTGCCAATTGCATATAAACGGTCGATAGACAGTAAAAACTTCTCTTCTAGGTACTTTTAAGCGCACTCAATTATTTAACTTTACTAAACTAAATATTAATCTAATATTTTCACAGATGGGATAACGCATTCTACTTTGCCGGTGTATTTGTTGCCTTATCTGGTGTGGCCTCCTATTTGATAGAATTTTGTGAGAAGCGAGAAAAAGGCAGCGACAGCGATGTCTCCGAAACTAAGAAAACTAATTTAATACATTAAATTTCGAATCCATGATAGAGAATGGGGATGCATGAAATTTCATTAAGAGTTCATAGCAGCAAAGTCTTCTGTGTTACATGTACAACATATGAGTGTAACTATGTTTGTACAATAGTATACCATACATTATAATATTTGTATGTATTGTATGTATGTATGTATATATTTATTAAATTTGAACTGAACTATGCTTACAAATATTTCTCATGTACTTGACGATTAGAAATTTGAATTTGCAAACGAACACATGTATACACTCAAAGATAGTGCACATTTATTATTATAAAAAGAACACAACATCCAAGTTACTTCGTATATTTGTGATAACAACAAACACACAGACTACAAATTACCGTTTTTTAATACACATACATAAATAAATCAAAGAACAATACAACAGACCAACTTGTGTTCTGTAAATCGATAACATGGAGAATAAAAATTTTATTGGTGATTTATTTGTAGATAAATTGACAGATAAGTGGCAGGGTTTTCATTTTCTCAATTTTGATTATACCAGTTGGAAGGTTTTTGCAACGAACGGGAAAATTCTGAAGGAATACAATGTACAGATTTCAAATGTATTTAATGTAAGTATTTGTTTTTTGTAGACACCGAAGTCATTACTACACATAGAATGCACTATAAATATATAGGAAATTAAAGATGAAATGAAAGAATAAGCAGTGGAATAAATAATGCGCACAATTAATCGTATATTAATCTAGTCAACGCAACGACCAAAAAATTAGCCATAAGCATTTAAAACACCCCAACTATAAGTTTTTATCAAACACAACTTAATAGCAGTCAGCAAGGCGTTTTCTCATTTATTTGAATTAGTCCATTTATCCAAGAGAAAAATAATTTCTTACAAATGTTGTTATACAAACCAAAAAGCCAAAACCATTCAATTCACTCAATAACTATTTACTGTGTATATACATACATACATAGATAAATTATTGTGGATATTGCGAATGATCCACAATACATAAATATATATAAAATCTAATCCTCCTTTTTTTATTTCTGAAGTACTTTAGATAAGTATATAAAATATACATCTACAGTATACTCTGGTTAAAGTGAACGTAATCGGCTGCTCACAATATTAATTTTTATCAAAATCCTATTATTGAATATACGTGATTTGCTTTTTATTACACAAGTGTACTCCAGGACATGTTTCCACTCAATTTTATGAAGATATTATACACATTTACCGACATACTATTCGGCATAAAGTCTTCTAGAGTAACGAAAACCATTATATGTATGTAGTATATGAAAGATAAAAGTATTGACCCGTTTTTATATCACGCCATATTATTACTAGAAAAAGATGCTCTCTGAGTTGCATTAAGATACCTCACAGTTTGACTGATATTTTCGATAAAAAGTTCGCCATAGGAAGCTTGATCCACATACTCGGTATCTAGGGGCTTGAAAAGTTATAGTCCGATTTCGACAATGTTTAAACGAGATACTGCATAGTGCAAGAATCAGAAGGAATTTAAAATTGTGATATTAGGCAAGTAGGCGCGGCTGCAGTCCGATTTCGCCCATTTTCGCACGGTGACATAAACATGCAAATACAATATTAATGAGTTATCCCACTTTTATTAGTTTTCAACATAACCGTTACATGGGGAGTAGGCATGGTTATCAGCCGATTATTTGAATTTTTACACTGTATAAGGGGAAGCTAAAAGGAGTTGTTCTCAGCTAGTTTGGTTGATCAGCCCTAGTGATTTGTGATATATGTAGATTGAACGTATTTGGAAGCGGGCCAAATTTTAAAAAATTTTGACACTGGGATGGCCTACACCAAATTAAAGATTTGTTTCTTTATTTGTGACTTTGTAATAGCCCTCTATAGTTTTCTGCTTAACGGCACTTTGTGGGCGTGACAATGGTCCAATTACAACAACCCTAAAGTGCGAAGGAGCCAAGTTTTATTAAGATATATAAATTTTTATTCAAATTTGTTTACTAGGACATACGGACAGACATCCGGATTTCTACTCGCCTCGTCATCCTGATCATTTATATATACATACATTAGTTTTAGGTATTACAAACAACCGTTAGATGAACGAAACTATTATACTCTGTAGCAACTTGTTGCGAGAGTATAAGAATACGATTGTTCATGCCACCCGAGTGCACTGTATGTATGTATGTAAATCCCTACAGGCCAAATCTTCAAACTTCACACAAATCAAGTATATAATATTTGACAACAAAAACAAAACAAATTCAGAGATATTTTGAAAAAATTTTACCAAACTGCTTTCATAAAAATTAATTTAACAATCAACTGATTTTTAATTTAAATATTCGAGTTCAATGGCTATGAATTATATTTTTAGCTTTTACGGAGATTGCCCTAACATTTATGTATATAAACGCTAAAGCGAAGATGTTTAAGAAATATTCATGCAACAAAGCAATTTATCGCGTTCGCATAACTTTATTTGCCTTTTGTACAAGCGCAAAGAAAATAAAAATATTGTGATGAAAACAATAAACAGTTAAAGGCTCAGCCTTCTAATACTTATTAAGTCAGTGCACAAAAAGGATAAAAGATGGTTTTAAGCCATTATGTAAACATTTATCTAAGTATTGTACGCCTACGAAATATTTTTACGTTTTTCGGATGCACTGATAGTAATCTTAGACTCACAAATTTCTTTAATTACGCACTATGTGGCGATATACATATGTACATACTCTTATTTTTTAACAAAAAACATTTGCAGTTCTAATAAAACTCAATTGGACGATGTAAACTTGAATTAAAGTATACCTTCGCGGAGATGTATTAGAAGGGAGAAGGAGAGGAGTAATCTGACGTAGGCTTGAAATTCTGGAATAGAAAGAAAAAGATATTCACAAACATGCACATTTACACAACCAGCGACAAAATATTGTATAAACCATTCAAATACTTACAAGTATGTATAAGTATGTGCAGACGTATATGCTCATTGTACTGTAAAACAGTAAAGTTTTAATAAATATAAAATTACACAATACAAATATAGTAATAAAGTTTTTGCATTTAAAGTAAAAAGTAACAAAACGATTATGGACTTCAAGTATTCGGCTAACTAACTCTTTATCGCCTTTCGATGAGACATTTATTTTCGAAAAGTTTTCAAGCATCGTCTCTAGGTTACGGTAATTCCAGCGTATTCGTATATAAAGGTAAGAAGAAAATCAAAACAAAAAACTACTTTTTCTGATTTCTATCAGCTACTCGGCAACAACTAGTTTCTCTAATTAGAATTCTCACTTATACAAAAATAAATATTCCACGAATATAACCTGTATTGCTATTAAGAAGACAAAATGCTTACTCCTCCCTTATTTGAACACGGTGTACCAACAAGTTTCCACACAGTTATGAATATTGGTATCCATATAAGCATACTTATGTACAAGGTGCGTTCCAAAGTAAATAGGGCTTTTAAAAAAAGACAGAACAAATGGTTTTATCGGCAAAATCTATTAATTTTATTCAAAATAGTCTCCTTCTGCTTTAATACAGCTTTTTGCACAATCCAAAAGCATGTCGAGCGAGTGTTTTAGCTCGTTGCCCGTTATGGCCGCCAGTATGCCGGTGCAAGCCTTTTGAATGGCCTCCATGTCTGCATTATCGTGCAACAAACGCCAACTTCCATCTTCGCGATTTTCTGGCTGAACACGTCAAATACGGCGTACCAAACGTTTCACAACTCCGAGGTAGAATACCGCATTAACGTTTTGGCCGGATGGAACAAATTCTTTGTGGACAATACCCTTCAAATCATAAAAACAAATCAGCATTGTATTCACTTTTGACTTCTCCAGGCGCGATTTTTTGGGTTTCATTTATGTCCTCACGACCACTTTGAAAACGTTGAAACCACTCGTGCACTGTGCTACGGGATAGGCAATCATCGCCATAAAATTGTTTCATCAATTGAAACGTTTCGGTAAAAGTTTTACCAATTTTAAAACAAAATTTAATGTTGGCTCTTTGTTAGAAGCTCATTTTCGCACCGATGACAAAAACATACTGACACTTAAAACGCGATAACTTCACTTCCAATAGATGAAATGTCATGAAATTTTTACTAGAAGTCGATAAAGGATAGCAGATTCCAACGCACTAGTCGACATATAGATGGCGCCACTAGAGTTTACTTTGTTACTTTTGTACTGCTTACTTTGGAACGCACCTTGTATATATATGACAATGGATATGAACCTAACAGTAAATTCAACTGACCAAATTGTTCTGTAAGGCCTTTAAAAATGTTACATCGAAGATAAGCTTGCAGACATTGTGTTAAGAACTTTCTGAGGCTAAATTCATTAAAAATTTCTTAAACTAATATTTTGTAATAAGTAGTAAGTCAAGGTTGGTTTAAATCAGAATTCGGAATAACTTTTGAATTCAATTCTTTCTATTATTTATTTTAAAGACACAAACTGTTAATTCGCAAATGTGTTTAGAATATTTTTAATCAGTTTCTTATCTCGATTAAAGTTCAAACTTTCACACTTTTAGAAAAAATGAGTTAAGAGAAAACCTCTTTTTTCGTATTGGCATTTTCATATGTAAGGCTTCTTGAGCCTAGATCACTGTTAGTTCGACGTCACTTGTAAATTTCTCTCTACATTACAATTCAGGGTAATCTCGTATTAGGTATATCAATTATGTTTTATATACTTGTGGCTTTTTAATTAAACAAAAGTTCAATCAGTCCAATACACGCACTTGTCTTCCCTTTGTGTCGAGCCATCACTTACTTCTACTTATATACCTAATACTTACATATGTGTGTGTAGAAATTCTGTTCGGACATAATGCTCCACTCTCAGTTCCGATCAGCGTCTTTTGTGGACGGGCACAGTTACGATTAGACTTCCCGAGCTGTGTTATCACCTACGCCGCTGCAGTCGCAATAAGTCCGCGAGTTCTATCAGACGAAGTGCTATTAGTTTTAGATTCGAAAGTAAGCAGAGAGATTCAGATGTCCCGTTACCGCGTGTACATGCTTACAAACGATTGTGCTGAGAACTATGATATAAATGTAGAGTGAAAGAATAAAATAATCAAATTAATTATGTTACATTGTGACGAAACTCGCAAGCAAATTAATTGAACGTAAACAGGATTCAACAAACAGTACAAGCAAGTTGAAGCTTAGTACCATTTTAAACTGCCGACTTGCAACTGATTGTAAAATCAGTAAGAAAAGAACATGGTTTTTAAAAAAAAAAACTTAGACACAAATAACCCTAATAGTGCAATACATGAGGTAATATCGTCACCAACTAAAATGAGATCGAAGACGACGCCAATGATGCCATCAGTAAGATGCAATACATCATACAACCAACAGGATTGCGTTGAGGTTGAATTTCCCGGTCACTCTACAAGTTTCGACCATGCTATCAATGAACGTCTGCTGAAGTGCTCTCCAATAAAATTGAACGATGGCAATGACCGCTTGACTACTGCAACTAGTCAAGAAACGCTCGCAATGTTTGATAGTCGTAATGTCACGAGAACGCCGAATCGTCTTATCACCAGTGGATTGACCGATTCGATAGGTTCGAGCTCAACAGATAAGAAAGCGACAGCGATACCTGATGGTGGTTACGGCTGGGTCATTGTAGTAGCCTCACTCATTGTTTCGCTAATCGCTGATGGTTTAGGGTTCTCTTTTGGTCTGATTAATTCTGAATTGTTAAATTACTTTGGAGAATCCGCTTCAAAGACGGCTTGGATTAGTTCGTTATTCTTTTCAGTCCCACTGTTAATGGGACCGATTTGGTCGAATCTAGTTGATAAGTATGGCTGTCGTAAAATGACCATATTTGGAGGTTTGCTATCAGCAATCGGATTTGGTCTCTCCTCACTCTGTAACTCTGTGGAAATGTTGATGCTGACCTTTGGTATCATTTCTGGTTTGGGACTGGGTATTGGTTATGTAACAGCAGTTGTATCAATCGCTTTTTGGTTTGATAAGAAACGAACATTCGCTACTGGCATTGCTGCGTCTGGCACGGGAATCGGCACATTCTTATATGCACCGCTGACCCAATGTCTCATAGATAGCTACGGTTGGAGAATAGCCACATTAATTCTCGCTGGTACTATGCTGAACACTTGCATCTGTGGTGCGTTAATGCGTACTCCCGACTGGTTAAAAGTAGAAAAAATTTTAGAAAAGGAAACTCGGTCAAAAAGTTTAGCTCCATCTCCCACTTCCATTATAAACCATAGAGAAAATACAACGAAGGATACGCTACATAAAATCTTTTTGACTAAAGACAATGAAATCGGAAGAAAAGAAATCAATGATACAAATTACATGAAACGTTTATATAGCGAGATGCTCATTCCTACCTTCTTGGGATCTCAAGATTTAGATCTCGAGTATAAAGTCAGTAGTCTGAATCAGCATTCATCACAACGTTTTAGAGACGATATGAAATCGTCTTCTCATGGAAATATGCCATCTTTGACATCACACGGGCCCAAGAAAACAGCAGTCATTATAGAGTCCCAAGTTAACGCACTCATCGGGGACATTACTGAGACTACAATTGAAGTCGGAGAGTTGAATATGGCATCCATTGACGCGGAGTATAGTAAGCAGTTATCCTATGAGACTGCCGATAGATTAAATAATAACGATTCTTCACTAATTTTAGACGATAATGTTACAAAACTGACTAATTTCACCGATATTTTGAAGCTGGAAAATGTTGTTTTCAAAGACCCAAAACATTATGTGGATGTTCATAGCCCACCAATAAAGTTGATATCGCGCTTGAATTTACGACAAACTAGCTCAATACCGAGTTCCAATCTCCAGAAGAATATCCGAATACAAAGTAACATGTCACGTGACTGTGGTACAATTTTGAAGCCATATTTTCACCGTACAACTTCCTGCCCGAATATCTTTCGGAATTCGACAGCGGTAAACGCAAAGGTGAAAGAAGACGTAAGTAAATACTATTGTATGAGGGTAGACGCCACGAAATAAACTTTACTTATCCGATAATAGTGTAAGAGTGTAGTAGTGAGAATCCCTTATCGTGCACTCAAGCATTTCATATATTGTATGTAAATAAAACAATGGACCATTTAAATTGTAATTGTACTAAATACATGTGTATTTGTGATATTATGTCGACGCATTAAAACTACTATTTTATATATGCCCATATGTAAGTCATATTATATTGGATTTTGTCTAGACTTTGTGAGCTTGAAAAAATCGCACAAATTTCTCAGAAATAAGTGGTTATTATTCTATTTTGAAGGCGACTTTTACACCTTTTCCGTTCCTTTACCACAAAACTAAATAAACTAGTTCAAATAGAGAGGGAGATAGGGGATTTAAAACCCCCCATTAGCATGTCCTAATTGTCCATAAGCAATATAAGAAGCTCTTTGAAAGCGAATTCTGTCAATGTCACGGTATTATCGGTGAAAACACTGACCACCCTGTAGGATAAAATTTGGATTTCGTTTCCTTTTTGACAAGAATACGAGTATATTTTTATTGTTATTATATACAAGTATGATCTGACAATGTTAATGTCTTTTGATGCTTCAAATTATATATACAAGTAGGTATGTAATTATAATAATACTTGGCGTACATGGAGATGTTTAAGTATACATAGTATATGTAAATATATACATAGATATTTTTTACTTCTATATATTAGAAAATTCATTTAGAATTTATGATATTACCCATTTTCCAGACTTGGTACAAATGTGCGGTTGGCGCCATGAAGTCTTCGTTTAAATTCTCATTGTTTGCGGATGCGAAATTTACACTATTTAATTTGTCAATATTATTTTTGTTCATTTGGTAAGCGAAAGTTCCAACGAAACGAAAATAATTCCATTTATACACCAAGGAATTTAAGTTTGGCTAATACCGGTAATCCTAATTATAGGTTCATGATACCATATCTTTATCTGCCGGAGTATATGAAAATTCACGGTTACGAAGCAACGGACAGTGCGCATATAATTTCGGTTATTGGAATCGCGCAAACAATCGGCATGATTGGTCTAGGCTATGTGGGCGATCGTTCCTGGATGAATGTGAATATCTGCTATTCGGCGTGTATGGTAGGTGAGTGCGCAATGAAAATACGATACTGCAAATACAGGGAAGGAGCTTTAATTTTCTTCCTGCATTTCTAAACACATTTGTGTTAGTGCCGCAATCTGATAACCTGAGTTGGAAGAGTTTATCCCTCCTCCATATGTTATAGTATCAATCATTGTTTCTCTATTATTAATATTATTAACATTCATTTTTTTTAGTTTGTGGAATTGCGGTGCTTCTAATGCCGCTACTGGTGAGCACCTATGTTGGACTATTGCTAGCTTGTATAGCCTTCGGCTTCACATTCGCCAGTTCTTATTCGCTTACTCCAAGCATTTGCGTCAGAATTGTGAATTTAGATGATTTTACCTGCGCCTATGGTTTGGTGTTGTTGGTTCAAGGCGTCGGTATGATAGTAGGGCCGCCGATTGCTGGCGCAATTTTCGAAATGACGCTGAGGTAGGTTAAAATCCATTTAACAAATATCCTAAGGAATTTATCCACTATCTATTCCAAAACTAAGATAATATGTTGCCCGGTTATCTTAAATTATATATATAATAAAAAATGCCTTAGAAGTCATCTGAACAAAAATCTATCAAAAGCGTTGCACAAAAGCAATATAAAAGACTCAATTTTTAACATCTAGCAGAATTGAATAGATTGTACCCTATATTATACAATAGTGTTTATGACACCAATAAAGGGCTAAGTAGAGGAGAAACGAAGCATTGCATGGTTTTAAGATATTTTGTGAACTTGAAGGAAGTCTCTAAAATTGTATGTCAATGATCAAGAAAATAAAATTAAATTCAAGCTAATTAATAATTATAATTTACATTCCTATTTACTCCAACGAATAAATTTTATGCTTTTCGATTGCAGATGGGATGACACATTCTATTTCGCCGGTGCGTTTATAGTCTTATCTGGCGCGGCCTCCTACCTTATTGAATTCTGCGAGAAGGGAGCGAAAGTCAAATCCAGTGATGTATCCGAAATATAGAACACTCAAAGTTATAAAAATTAAAATTCGACTTGTATTAACCTTTGTATGAAATCTCATCGATTTATTGTAAATTTTTATGGGACATATGAACATTAGGCTGGAAAATTTGTTATAATTTGTAATTGATAAGTTTTTTCGTAATTTATTATATCTACCTCAGGGGAAATACAGATTGGTTTTTATTATCATTCATCTAATTGTACATTAATTTATAAGAAAATTGAAAAGCGGCACCTGTTTCTATAACAGTAAGTAATTCACCTCAATTACATATTGCTCCTAGTTCTATGGAGACACTCTATGTTGTTGTCGTGTTAGTGATCTAGAAATCATCTAATGGTCTCTATCACACCTAACGAATATCCCAATAAAACAATTAAAAAATATGTGTACGAGACACGGAATATAACTATACAATAATGCTTCAGCTGAATTAAAGAAGCAGAATGGAATTAACTATTTAGAAGGAAACAGCTTATAAGGCGTGATTTCTAACTGAAATTTTAATTTTACTACCTTCAGAAACTAAACTGCTTCGCCAACTTCGGCCATAGCAATAACAAACATTTTTTCGCAGGCAAAATGCTGTATATTTTATCTGATTGTAAGTGTATTTATTTGTTAAATTTTATTTAGTCACATATCAAACTTTAATTATCTTAAAATAATTTTTTTGTAATATTTATCTCATATTATGTTGTTCGCAATATTTTGTGTAAAATTATCAATTCAAAAATATCCAGTAATGCAAATATTCGCATGTGAATGCGTATGTATGTAGGTATGTAAGGTTTATAAGTATAAGTACCATTAATTATATATGTATTTCATGGTTGTGTTAAAATAAATTCAATTATTTTATTCGCTTAATAAAATTATAATTTATAAGCGAGATAATATGTCCTGAAACCAGGACATTTATTTAACTGAAATAGCAAAAGACCACCGTAATATCAGCCCCTTCGCGTTAAATTTTTTTCTTTTAACAAATTCAAATATTTTTTAATGTAAGCCTTAAGTAACAAATTTTCCAAAAAAGAAAAGAAAAAAACAGCAACAAGAACACAAAACAACGCAAAGACAAGCACAGAACATATAGTATATATTATATTATATATATGTATATATATAAACAAGCAACTTATTCTTAAAGAAAATATATACCGATTACTTTTTAAGTGATTTGGAATGAATTCATATAAATACAGTAATTAATTTCAAATATAATTTTAATTGTTGTTTTTAGAATTTAGTTATGTATATAAAATATAGTATTCTTTTCTGAATAATTATAGTATTTGTGTTTTTGTTTCGCATATTTTTATAGAGTATACGTTTTATATTTTAATCGTTCCTAGGTATTGTAAGATCAATCGTTTATTACCAATTAATAATATTATTAAAATGTTTAATTATATGCTTGTAGTATTTGGTTTTGGTATTTTTAAAAGCCCTTATAACACTTTTGGTTTTTGTCTTTTTAGTTTAATTCTAATAGCTTGTATTGCGCACATCATTCTTTACGCGCTAAATATTAATGATGAACCTTTGCGCGAAGTTTCCGAAATTTGTGAAATGAGAAAAAGAAAAGAAAATTATACCGCGACATCAGTAGCACCATCTATAGTTGTAGCTGCTTCAAATAAATTTTCTGTTATTCCAGCAATTATAAACGTTAATTAAGGTTAGCGCCGAGATTTATATTCATTGACTTTTTTTGGTGACTAATAGAAACTCACGGTATAATAATTTCAAAACGTTTACCAAAATTCCCCAATTTATAAGTTTATTCAAAATAGTAACTTTTTCTTTCGAAAAAATTCAGTGGTATAAGATACCCATGTAAATAGAAATAATACTCTTGTGAATTTGAAAACCTAAATGTACCATTCCATATTCTTTCCACAACTATTTGCAGTGTTGGTTATTATATCAAATCAAAAAAAACGACTTTATGTATGTATGTTTTGTTTTTTTTTTTCAGTTCAGTTCAGTTAAGAACATAATTAAAAAATTATTCTGCATAAAAATCCGGACACTTCATAAATAATAACTGTAATAATCTCATAGCCAGTTGAATAAATTTTAAAGACTTTATTTGGTTTTGATTTTCTATTTGCGTGCTGTTGATCTACTGATATATGCATATATGTTTTTTAGATTCGTTCATATCTTATATTATAAGAATAATTTGAAATGCCGGTTTTCCGTTACACACACTTCACTTTTAGTTGATTTAAAATAAAAAAACAAACTAAATAAAAGTAAACAAAAATATAATAAACTTCTGAAGTAAGGAAAACATCTAGTTAATAGTTATTTGTTTTTTATATGTTAGAAAAAATCACTAACTTCAGCCGCAGCTGTGAAGTGCCACTTAACAGCAGCCGCTACTAGCCGATCCAGCTTGATTGCCAGCACCCGGCAGTGAGGGATTCGTTGGGGAATGCTGTTGTCCAATCTTAATGCCATTTGCCTGTAAACATACAAGACATATAATATTTTAAGTTTGTATTTTTTATATATACTTAAATAGTTGTATAACAATTAATAGATCTTTATTTAAATTTTATAATTACCTCATTGTTTATATCGAAAACACCTTCTTGTATTTTCTCGTAAATCTCTTTCGCGGTATTAATAAACGCTTCCTCTACATTGGCAGCTGTACGAGCTGACGTTTCCATAAATACTAGACCATGTTCGCGTGCAAATGCTTCACCCTCCTCCTTCTTAACTTCACGTCGCGAATCCAAATCACTATGAAAAATATAATAGCGTATCATTGTGGACATATACAAATATAAATAAATCTATGTATACCACATGTATATGTGGTGATGGAAGTTAAGAGAATGAATCATTCTTATGTGCGGTTAAAAGCCAACCTCTTACCTCTTGTTGCCAATCAGCATAATGACCATATTTGAGTTCGAATGTTGGCGCGCATCCTCCAGCCATGTAGTCAAATGATTAAAAGTTTCACGACGTGTGATGTCATACACCAATAAAGCTCCGGCTGCTCCACGGTAATATGAACGAGTAATTGATCTGAAATATACATCGAAAATGTTTAAATTATTATAAAAAATTGTACTTATATTTATAATCGGACGTTGAACATTTTACCTAAACGCTTCCTGGCCAGCTGTGTCCCAGATTTGTAATTTGATTTGTTTGCCGTCAATTGTAATCATGCGTGCCCCGAATTCCACACCAATCGTCAAATCGTGCACGGGTTGGAAACGTTTGTCGGTGAACTGAAGTAAAAGGCATGACTTTCCAACACCTTAAGAGAAAATAATAGTAATTAATATTAAAAATGGCATCATATAAATATTCGATAATTTAAGCATAAATATATGTAAAATTTGTACCATTTACACAGTTATTTTCCTTTTGTGTGTTTAATTTTCCCAAATTTACAAACGCATACGTAAACATACATTTAATTATTTTAATTTGCAAACTAAAGTTAATATGAACGTGTAAAGAGAAAAACTCTTTAAACGAGTAGCTAGAAGATGGAGGAGAAAATAGTGAAAGATGGGTTTTTTTTTTATATACGATAAACGATTGAATTAGTAAAAAAGTATCAAAGATTAATTTGACTTTTTTTACGATTAGATTGATTAATTTATAAGGACGTTACCGATGCACTTTGATCCAATTTCATTAAGTACCATCTGTGTATGCTACAATACAGTGCAAATTTCTTCTATGCTGCAGCAATAGCCACAAAAATATCAAAATATCGATTTTCCAAAAGCGATTTCAAGATACATGTTCTCGCCCTCTGCCTTCGTCATCACACATATATTAACTACTGAAAATAATCTAAGCAGCTGCTAATATTCGAGTATATAAAAAAAAAAACATATAAAACTTTTAAATCTATTATTTTTGACTAGTGGGGCTTGAAATTTATGTTTTGGTTCTAAGTTTAACATGCACTGACTAAACTTTTTGCAAAAGGAACTCCTTATAATTTTTATTTCATTTCATTGTGTACACAATTGATAGTTTTCATTAAAACCATTTGTAGACTCACCAGTATCGCCAATGATAATATATTTGAATAAATATGCGTACGACATTATTTTTTGAATTCCTGATTTCCTTATTTGTAAATATCACAAAAATTAATTATTTTACTTAATTTTCGCACAATAGAAACGCAATTTATGTTACAGTCAAAATCGTCTTCTTACTTTCCTATCCTTTGTCTTTTTATTTTCGGTATGAGCTTAATGCTGCCACACGTATTTAATATGTATTTCGTAATACGAAAGCAATTCAAACAGCGAAACAAAATATTTATATATTAGCCTATTTTAGTAATTTTTTTTTTTTCAAATTATATTTTACACGTTTTTATTAATCACATTATTTTGTTCACTGTGTAGTTAACCAGTTTAAATGTGAATTACATGCAATATAAAACAAACTAATAATAATGATAAATTTTTTAGTTGATTAAAATATACTTATATAGCTTTGAGTAAGAGTTTGCGAAAAATAAAATAATAAATATATACATATTAATATATCAAAACTGTTACGTCGATTTCAAAATCTTCCAGTATAAAAATTTTTTGTTACGTTAAATTCAACCCTGTATTGAATGTATCTCATACAACCACTCTGAATCAATGAACGGAGGAGTTGTCAAAAATTTTCACAAACGAAAAACCAGTGGAAAAAGGATTACGATAAACTAAAGATTTTTCATATGAAAGACTACTCTTAATAAACTAAATTTAAACGAATATTTATTGAAATTAAATTAAATCGTATTATCAATTATTTAAATTATAATAGTGGTAGTGTAAAACTGATTAGCACGCCCATAACAGGGAACAAAGCACTTCACTTGCCTTTCTTTTTTCTTAAAAGGGAAGAGTCTAAAGAAACATGAAGATGGCGGACAGCACGACGATTCTGCGAAGAAACAGACCAGGAACAAAAGCGAAGGTTTGTAGGGAGGAAGTCCTACAGTGATTAGTATTCATTGTATGAATACAATTTCCATTTAATAACAGTTAGACATAACATGTAGTCGAAGCATATGGTGAAAAAGTAGAAACGAATTTGCTTTGCAGGATTTCTCTCGCTGGGCAGATGAACCACTGGAAGAAATGGATAGCACTTTGGCTGTACAACAATACATTCAGCAACTGATCAAACGTGATCCATCAAATGTTGAGTTAATTTTGACAATGCCAGAAGCTCAAGATGAAGGCGTTTGGAAATACGAACATCTCAGGTAAACTCTTAACAAAATTTTTTTAATTCATTACATTTTACTTTACGTATAGACAATTTTGTATGGAACTAAATGGGTTGGCTGTTCGTTTGCAAAAACAATGCTCACCTACAACATGCACACAAATGACGGCCACTGATCAATGGATATTCCTGTGTGCTGCACATAAAACCCCAAAAGAATGCCCCGCCATTGATTATACACGACATACACTAGATGGTGCAGCATGCCTCTTGAATAGTAATAAATACTTCCCAAGCAGGTAAACATAATGTCAATTATTAGTATGTCAAAGGTTAGAAGTTGTTTAAATGTTACGTTGAACCTTCTCTATATTTATTGTTCCCCGCTATTAGACCAACTATTTTTTTCTTTTACAAAATTGTAGTATTTATAGTTATATAAGTTATTGCTTAAATTTCAGTATTTTTACACTTTTCGCTAGGGTTTCAATCAAGGAGTCATCAGTGACCAAATTAGGTTCAGTGTGTCGTCGTGTTTACCGAATATTTTCCCATGCGTATTTTCATCACCGGCGAATATTTGATGAATTTGAGGCTGAAACATATTTATGTCATCGCTTCACTCATTTTGTCACCAAGTATAATCTCATGTCCAAGGAGAATTTGATTGTTCCAATTAACGAAGAGGAAACTGCAACACCTGGAGAGAGTGAAGCTTAGAGCTTTTTTATTCAGAGCTTGGAAAATTGTGTGTAAATATGTATGCAACAAATAAAAGCAACATCTTTATATCCAACACAGCGAACTGAGAACAAAGGCGTATGAGAAATGCACATACAACAGTAACAACAAAACAATAACAACTAGAAAAAACATAATTAGAAAGCAAGTCATAACATTATAACCACATAAAAATAATTATGAAAATATTAATGAAAAGAATTTTGAAAAAATATGTATTTAAATATTAAAAAAGAACGGAAATCAAAGCAATCTTTTTTGCAAAATTAAAATGGAAATGCAATACGTGTGAGGAATCCTCGTTAGGATGTGACAAATTCGCTTTCTATAATCTATATAATGTCTAGAAGAAAAATAGAACATTTAATAATTTCTCGATATAGCAGACGTGCGCTCAATTATTTTAAATTATAAAAACGCTAATTAAGAGAATACTATTCAGCAAAGAATACAATGTGCTATTTAAAATTAAAATTTGATTTGCTATATAGTAACAAAAATCGACTATTAATAGAACGTAAAGCAGTATATAGAAATTGGTTCATTGTTTCAGTATCATTACATATAAAGGTAGATTAATTGTAATTTTTGCAATTAAAAAACAGAACAAGATTACAATAAACCAAAACTGCTTATTCACTCCATATATCCCAAATTAATAAATTCAGAGCAAGCACGTTTTTATTTTACATCGAAATTAATGTTTTAACTATTTATTAGTTGTCGAAAGAACATGACGATCGTGAGTGGTTTATTTGATCTAAACTATACGGTAGTCAATAATCGTAATCATAATTGTTAATCTCACAATTTCATAAACAGCATACTGAAGCTAAACGTTAACTTTATGTCATTAAATATATTGTTTATTTTCGAAATATTTTATTTGTAGTAATTTCTCCAGATAAATGCATATAAAACCTATAACATAAACAAATTAAATATAATATATCGGTATACTAGATATTTTTTAATATTCCAACGAATAAAAAGTGAATGATACATCCAACAAATTAGCACCCAAAAGTCTATATTTAGTCTCCAGTTTTGATTATTTAACAACAGATCCATAGTAACAACCATAATTCCAACATACATAAATTGAATATGCGAAAAAATTTAATAAACAGCAATAACTGAAAAATATTGAATAAACCTGTAATGAATATAAAAACTAAAAAATAAAAAATACTTATATAAGCTATTAGTTTGAATACCTTTTTTAATATACACACATAACGCAGTTTATGTTATGAACTTATTTCTTATGCCTAAATAGAAATTACCTCAGATGTTTATCACAGCTTTCCTAATAAATATGATAGCAAGGAACACCTAAAAATGTTTTAAAACAATTGAACCAAGGACTATCTGCCAGTTTTTTCTGTATCTACTACATCAACAATTATTGTCATCAACTTCTCCCGTGATATCTAAAATATAGTTAAATACACAAACAATTAAATGTTATTGTGGTATATTTTCGAAATATTCTTTGAGCGATAACATAAAAAATCATAATTGCGTCGTGATGTTGCATGTATGATTAAGATCTGCTTCTCCTTAATTTCTACAAATCAAATCAATCCATTACTTATTTAAGATTCTATAGTATCTATATAATTTGAAATATTAGTAGGCTGTGCAGAAGTGCCACCTGATGTTCCAACTTCCATCTGCGAAGCCTGGGCGGATTGCTGTTGTAGTTCGGCACTTTGCTTTCTTTTAACTCGTTGCTGACGATGTTGGCCATTGCCATTATGCCGTAGCTCATTACGATTTTTATTCGGATTTTGCGATATTTGCTGCCTTTCTCGTTGCTCTTTTCTTTGAAAATCCTTTACCTCCACTTGTCCCGCATTCTGGCTTTGGGGTCTTTTCTTAGACAACTGTCTTTGTCCATGTTGTCGTCGCTGCCTCAAGCCTTCGCTATTTTGTCCTACTTGATCTGACTGTCTTTGTTGTTGCGTGGTGGAGCTCGAGCATCTCCAGTACTCAGTCGTCGTATTGGGTTTCTGAATACTGTGGTCAAAAAAAAGAAAAGAAATAGTCCAAATTTAAGTCACTCTTCCCCTCAAAGTCTGCTACAATAATGAAAATAATTATATAGAAGCTGAGGTAATTCGCGGACCGATTTTATGCATTTTCAATATTAAACTGTAGTACATCCGATATTATACCTTCGATATAGTTTGAAGAGATTAAAATTTGTATATTAGGTCTATGGGGGCCCCGATCGGGGCGTGATTATTAACTGATTTCACCCTTTTCACAGGAAAGAAGAGGAGCTCCGTGCCCACAACAGTTAGATCTATGTAACCGGAACGGACCCGGATTTTTATCCGACCAAATACTGTTAGCTCGGTAGAATTCTGCGGCTACAACAACAACAGCAGCACCAGAAGACAAGTAGTGGTTCTCTTTACTATAAGATGCCGCGGAATATGTGTATCGAACAGCTTGAATGATCTATTGTTTGAGTTAAACGTTATTGAACTTACTCGCCAATACTCTCATCGATTGGATCCAACGTCATCAGTATGTGTAAACTGGGCACCTTTCGTTTGGCTAGAATCGGCTCTAAACCGTCCATCTGTGGCACCCAGTGCTCTTCAATCCTATAAAATAATGTACATTTGTAAGCATATATTTTTGATTAATATATTGTATATTATCCTACTTACGTAACTTGATACATGCGCGTCAACTGATACAATGGATAGTTGCGCTTAAATATTTCTGCACAAGAAACCGTCTTCACCACACCGCCACCCGAACCGCTCCAAACGACTGTTCGATATTCGCCCTTGTCCAAAGCATTTTTGGCATAGCTAATAACATTGTGTACTTTAGTGCCCCCTCTTACCTACACATTGTACATATATATCAGTATACACAAAATTGCGTGTAAATTTATATTAAACATGAGTATACAATTTATATTTATTTATGTATGTATGTACGTACGTGCATCCAAAGAAAGTCCTTTTGTGGCAATTTAGACAAACAATCACCGAATGGCAAGTCATCCTTGGTCAACTCCTGCTCGATATTTTCACCTTTCCGATAGTGCATCATATTTTGCGTTTGTTTTTTATGAATTAAGACTACAATGGAAATATGAAGAAAATTCCATTCGTTAATACATTTTCAGTAGTTCCAACTTGTTACTATTGCGCATGGAGGCGGTAGAGAGTAGTGCATAATTGAATTGCAAGCTGTGGGTGTGCCAGTTGGTGGCACATCTATGTCTTTGCCATGTCGTTCCTCTTCTTTGTGGATTATTTCGTTTAAAGAATTTGTAAAACAATTTCTAACAACAAATTGGGTTAGCATAGCCAAGGACACTGAATGATTGAAGGAAACGAAGCCTGTTGGCTCAAATAAATGAAAGCAATCACTTTCATGAAAAATATGAATTTATTTCAACTTGTTGCTGTGAGAAAGCGCTCATTACCCGCCGGTGATATAATGCATCTATCGATTGTAATTATGTCATACATACAAGTATATATAACGTTATTTAACACATAGACTAATAAAATGCTGCCAGGGTTTCATTATGGTTTCACCAATCATATGAAGTAAAGTCAGCCGAATGTTCGATTTTCCTAATATTGGTTATATGGGGGCTAGGTTAAGTTTTCGCCCAATTTTCCATTTCCATTTTAAACATAAAGATACACCGTTATGATTAAAACTCACTCTCTAATTTTCATTGACCCTATTCAACCTTTCATTCCATCTTTGACATACAGACATACTATTATGAGAAAAGTATCCTCTCTGAATTTCAATTATATATCTCACACATTGACCGATATTTTAGTTAAAAATCCACTATATGTACTGAGGTCCACATACGGTATACCGGTATGATGAGCGGAAGTGCTGCAGAGTCGCATCGAATGCTTGTCGATGCATATGGTGATCATAATTTATCAGAAGCAACATGCAAAAGATGGTTTTAAGGGTTTAGAGATAATGATTTTGATTTGAGAAATGAAGAATGAAAGACAAATGGAAAACTGAAAAAACACTTGTGAAATTTTGCTTCAAAGACACGCAAGAAAATTAGTTTTGCATCGAATTGTCACTGACGATGAAAAATGGAAAAATCCTGGGTTAATCCGGGACAACCATCCACGTCGAGTGCAAAAACTGATCGATTCGGTAAGAAGGCAATACTCTGTGTTTGGTGGGATCAGAAGGGTGTCGTATATCATGAGTTTTTAAAACCTGGTGAAACTATTAATACTGATCGCTACAGACAACAAATGATCAATATTAACCATGCATTGATCGAAAAACGACAAGAATTCTTTTACTTTCCCAAAATTCATTTTCATTTATTCATTTTCACAAAAAACATTTCAGACCGCTACACCATATATTCGGTACCTAGAGGCTTGAACAGTTTTGGTTCGATTTGGACAGTTTTTGGTCATAAGGTGATATATGTACTTTAAAGGCATTATTCCCAATTTTAACGCAATATGTTCCAATAATTTTTGCTTGATTTGCATACTACAAAGAGAGAATGGATGGGAATTAGGCGTGGTTGTAGTCCGATTTCGCTCATTTTTGCACTGTAACATAGGAATATTAGAAGAATGATACATACCATATTTAGTTGAAATCGGTCTAGCAGGTCCCGAAATATAAAATATGGTGCTAAAATTGTTGCCCTGTGTGAATTTAGTTATTATAGCTTTAGCGTTTTTGCAGCTATGTACATTAACCTATCAGATATACTTTCCCTAAGTCGATTCGTTATATCAAAGATTGTATCTTATTGTGGAGTTTAGTATTGATTTTCGATTAATGCCGTGTTGTGGGCGTTACACCCATCTACAATACCAACCGTCTTTCGGTGCCCTGGAACATGTGTACAAAGTTTCATCAATATATCTCAATTTTTATATTTTACAATTTAAGTTACAGCTTGCACAGACGGACGGACGGACAGACAGTCAGCCGGATTTCATCTCGTCTCTTCATCCTGGTCATTTATATGTATATATATAATCCTATATCCAACTCGATTAGTTTTGGGTGATACAAACAACCGTTAGGTGAACAAAGCTATTATACTTTGTAGGAACATGTTGCAAGAGTATAAAAAATAACAACAACAACTCTCAAATCTATACTGAATGTAATGACGAAATTACTTGTTAATTGAAAAATAGTAATGCTAAAGGAGGTAACGTAATTGAAAAAATGGCGGTATATTCAACACGCTTCAGTCAATTAAGCTATCATCATTGAACTTTTCCGTGCAATCTTCAAGTGTTTAGCAACGAAACTGACGTTCGATTCAGCAGCTGTACACTTAAAGCACGTTCAAGTCTTTACAAATACTTTCATATACACATATACATATTTAATCGTACATTCCAAGAGCTTGCTGAGCCCACGCGTTCCCTGTATTAATATAATTGATGTATGCAGCACGAGGTCTACATGATCTGCGTTGGCAATAAGGACATGCCAGGCACACTCATACAAATATTCAGCTATGATTATTATGCTATCTTCTTATAGCAGCAACAACAAAAGCAGAACTATAAGAGGGGATAGGAATGTTCGAATAGAATGCGTTAAAATTCCTTATCGCCAATAACGCGCACCGTTATTACCATCACTTTCACATGCCATGAAGCATCCGGCCTTTATTCACTTTGCTATCTCGCATGAGTTGTCATCAAATTGTGGTCTCTTCCTAAACAATAACATCAACTCAGCTTGTAAAGCCATCGATGCCACGTACAATAATTCAATTTGTTATTAAGAAGTTGAAATCAGAAGGCAAGCAGTTGAGCATTTAAAAGAATTTAATGAGTAAACGATGAATATACGATATATATGATATATACATACAGGGGTTTTCAATTACACTGATATGATTTTTTTTTTTTTTTTTTTTTAAACACACTAATTGTTAAGGAAATTCACATGTTTTTTTATTTATCGTGAGGTAAATCGATACAATTAAGTTCTGAATATAACATCATTCAAATGGAAATGTCTTTCACGACTCCTTTTGCAGGAACGAATTCGATGAACCCAATTTTCGAGTACTTTTTCCACTAAATCAAGTCGTATGTCATAGTACGTTCAAATATGACTTCAAATAACCTCACAATAAGGAGTTTAATGATGTTAAATCACAACTTCTTGTGCTATGTGGCACGTAGCCCCGCCTTGTTGGAAGCAGAAGTTGTCAAGATCAACTTTATCCAATTGCGGCCATAAAAAGTTGGTTATCATCGATCTATACTGCTCTCCATTGACAGTAACGGTGTCATCAGCTTCATTTCGAAAGAAGTACAGACCGATGATTCCACCAGACTAAAAACCACACCAAACTGTCAATTTAGATGAATGTAATGGTTGTTCATGAATAATTTGTAGATATTATTCGCACCAGAATCGACAGTTTTATTTATTTACCGCACCACTAACCATAACGACCATAAAATGGCAAAAGCGTACGAAAAGTTTGGAGAACGATTATTTTGATAATAAAATTGAATAATTCATAAACGTTGTTCTTGCGTATATCTGTCCATGATGAAATTGTAAACATTACTGAATACAATGAAAAAAAATTACAGATCATGACATATTAAAAATGACCGTAAAGATACTTAGAAATCATATTATCCCTATTGGAAAACCCGATATATGCATCTGTATGTGTGGAATTGAAGTTTATTTCGAGTATGTCGCTTGTCGTAGTCTTCAGCCGGTATATAATGAATATTCGCACTCACACACACAAATATTCAAAACTCCAAAGGACTGTTCAGTTGTATGTAGACATTTTATTGCAAGAATTTTTCTGGCATTCCAGCACTAAAACCAGCAACTTAGACGTTGGTGCCTAACATGGGTGCTTCGTTTCATCTTGTACGAGTTGTTGTCATCAATATATATTCATATTCGAGAATTTCTCTGGGGTTTAAAGTTATTTGCTCCGTGCGATAAATGATATGTAGATTTGCTAAGGCTCTCTTGTTTTGCTTGAAGAATGGTTCTGTGTGTTTGCCTTCGAGGTATGTATATAATGCGCGACACTCAAAAAGGTGTCTAAAAAGGTTTTGACCTTGGCTCTCCCTGTAAGCGTAGACATACATACCAGTATGTACTTATTTATGTATATTTACCTTTATTAGATTATTGAGGACGAGATCCCCTTGAAGGAAACCATAAAAGGTAAGCAATCCCATATCAACACATCTGCACAACAATATATTATATAATATATGTCAACTCGGCATCTCATATTAAATGTTGTCAAGAAAGTAAAAATACGCAGTCCGAACTCCGAGCTTTAGCATAATCTCACGTTTTTCTATAATATTTAAATGTTTGACCTCATAATAGGGACTTTATAAAAAAAAACGAAAGTCCAATGCAGTCCGGAACAGCAATTATATACTAACACAAACCTAATATTTGTGAACAGTGATGGCGGAGGATGCGAAATAGAAATGGTGTGAGGAATTAACTTTTATAGCAGCAAATTGTCTGAAGCACTGTGTCTATGCGCACACATACACATACATTTGTAAGCATAAAAAATGTATATATGAATCAAATATAAGTATATAGACATATACACAACTAACCAACTTTACGGACTGATGACTGCGGTGAAACAAACATTTTACTCATTTCACTGCAACGAACATTCCTTAGACACACTTCCACCCAAAAATGTCTCGTTTTCTTCCCCTATTTCCATTATTTACACCCTTTAATAATTGCTGGAATTGTGCGAAGTTGGTGTGGGTGGACTGGATGCTGCGCGGCAAGCAATTCATGGGACAATGTACCGAGGTTATGTCATGGTAAAATCACACACGAACGATCAGTTACTGCTGCGGCGGCAGTTCGAGCGGTATTCTGAGAACTTCCGTTCAGAAGAAGTGAAAATACTGGCCAAAAGGTAGTTTGTGTTGGATAACTATTTTTTTGATTACAATTAATGCAAAAAAAATTAACCTATTCTCTATAGCTCTCTATAATATTATGAGTAATATTAATAAGTGAACAATAAATAATAAGGAAGTTATAGTGCTCGTTGAAAAAATATGTC